GAAAAAAAACCTGTGGAGTGCCCCTTTAAATGGATACTAAAACTTTCTCTCACATACACTTTCTCATTCCTCTCAACTGTCAAACCTGAGCTGGCGCAGAACTGCGTATTGCAAGCTCCTGCCAACTCGCGTTCCCTCGGTGCCAACAGCCATCAACAAGAACGGAATGCCCACTAAGTTATACAACCATTCATTACTCGGAGACAATTAAAGAAACCTGTGGAGTGCCCCTTTAAATGGATACTAAAACGAAATTTCGGCGCTCATTTTTTGGTCTATATGTGTTCAAAGGAGCAGTATCACACCGATCACACCAATATCTTGTTAAAAAAGTCACGAAAAGGAATTTTGAAACGAATTAAACGATTAGCAAAGAGCACCTGGTGGGTGTCGCTAGCGCCTCGTTTGTAATGCCCGTCTAGGAACCTTGAGAGCTAGTGACGGTTGAGTGTCTCGCCTCTGGCCACGACGAAAAAAGAGGGGAACGAGGAACTCCCCTCTTGCCGAAAATCCCTTCTGTGTGTCCCAGAAGCCGCTATTGTCCCCCGTACAAGATTATAGAAGATTAACCAGTCACATAAAAATTCATACAAAAGCAGCCACTTCGGTGGCTGGAACGGCCATCCTCTCGACGTCAGCCTCGCCGTAGCTTTGCTCGTCCCGAGACGAACTACGTCACGATTGCGTTGGATGTCACATGCTGTCCACTGTGGCTGTTCTCCGAGCGCTTGCCAAAGTGGGCCGTTTATAACGAAAAATAGAGCCACCAGGCTCAAAATAGAAACGTCCGATTGTCATTTACGGATATTGTGGATCATATTCAACCTATTTTTGAACGCAACGGGTTAATTTCAAATTATGTTGAAGTATCCCTTTAAAAGCGGCGCCGGCTAGCTACTATAGTACTAATGCATAATTCGCAGTTCCAATGGCAATTTGTTTTTCGTTTTCAAAGCCAGATTTTGGTGCCGTTCGTGATACAGAGATAGCTAATCAATTTGATGACGTCGCCAACAAAGCGGGCTTTCTCGGTTTAATGATATTCGGGAGTTCATTTTTCTCGTGGCACTGTGAGGAGGCGACGAGAAAATAACTCGATGGTCGAACACTGATTTAGTCTGATTTTGAAACGTGAAACATCGTATCTCGCAACTCGTCTGATGAGAAAGTACGTCAAAAAGTGCCTAAAACAGCCGCCCAACCTGCCTTTTCTGTCCCTTAGTTTGTTGTTTTAATCTTTCCCATATTTTACTATTTTCTTCCTTGTTTCATCAGTGCTACTAAAGCGTGACTCAGCAGCACCGGGGCGCTCACGGAAAAGAATAAGAACTGCAGTGAACTAGAAATAAAGGAAGATCCATGGGTGGATCCCTAGGGAATGGGTTAGCACGACTAATGTCCCTGAATAAGAAAGGTAGCGACATCTTCTCCCTCCTCCTCTGACCCGCACACCTTTTATCTTTGTGTTTTGCTCTTTTACACCCACGCGTCGATTGTAGCGCCGCCTGAATCGCTCCTAGATATCAGGCGGCCTTCCTATACTTGAGTCAGAGCGCAGTCAAAGGCTGAAAGACACGTAAAACACATATACACAGGCTCAAAAACGCACTGTCACGGTCTACCAGCCTCGAAGAATGTGCTCAAAAAAAGACGATGAAAGCCGTGACGTTACACAGTCGGCGTTATTTGATTGGCGACATGAGCTCATAGCATGCACTGCACTCCGACAGCATAGGCATTCCTTCTCCCTCCTTGTCCCTTATGCACACTCTTATTGTTACATTTTGCTCTTTCGCGCCCGCGCGTCGACGGTAGCGCCGCCTGGATTGCTCCAAGATAGCAGGCGGCATTCTTCAAAGGATGTCGCTACTTTTCCGTTTACAAGGGCTTTAAGCACGACCCCTGGGAAACGCTAGCAGCATCCGCTGCCTGACGCTGCTTCCACTGTTCACCGGTTTCGGCAGCCCGTTTCTTTCGTTCCCAACCCGTCTTCTTTTGCCTCTTACTTGGACCAGCGCTAGTACTTGGTTCACACTCCCTTTGGTAGCGCAAACCAAGGCATACGGGCTCCGCATACCTGCAAGCTCAGACTCGGTCCAGCATCCGCGCGCACATTGGCTTCCGCCTCGTGACGTCGCCTCCCTCTCGCCTTTGTCCTTCACTACTCTCCTTCTCTCTACGCGGCGCGCTTCACGCCGTCAGCTTCTCCCTGTCATGTGGGTACTAATGCTAACGCATTAAAAATAGTCTGGCAACTGAAGGCAGTTCACGTGTCGTGATTAGTACCCATTCTGATAATGTAACCGATACCCGACTCCTTTTGCAAAAAGATGCAAGAGCGACCCGATCCTAGCTCACGTGCTAGGGGCTGGTCAGTTTGGCACCAGCTCGAGGCATTTCTCGGTTAAACGGCTTGCCACGGTGGATAATTTGGAACTTGAAAGTTGTCTTGGAAGCTACCTGCCAGCTGACAGTACGGTGGCAGCTGCGTGCTCGTTGGATCAATGATACGTCTATCTTTTGCCACGTGATCATGCGCCCGCTGGGAGCGGGGTTAGCTGATGAGAAGGAGGCGGTTCATGGGCCCGGCGAGCGCGTATCTTCCACCACACTGTCAGCTTAGGTGCGAATAGCCTCTTTTCCTGCTGCCCGGTTTTTTGCGGTATGACCCAAACCACATTGTTGGACAAATGCTGATCCACGATGGGCAGACTAAAAGTGCGATGCCTAGAGCCCAGATGGACGTGCGATTTATAAAGATTCTGTTTTTCGAGGGTGGGCCTCGCTGCCTGCGCACGGACGACAAAAATTAACACGAGAACTATGTTTATTCCAGAGTTCTGCGTTTTTGTTGTGATTATAATTTACATGATATGCGATTGCATGCGTGTAGTCTGTGAATGCGCGCGCATATATTTTATAATGAGAACGGTCTGAAGTGCGGTCGTTCGCGCGCCCGCTATTTAGAAAACGCTTACGTGTCATTTGGCACTGGCGTTATTATGGGGCGCGGAGGTGTTTCCTTATCGGAGCACGGGGTTCTTCAAAAGACGCGTGACCTGTTTGTACCGTTGGCTCCCGCGAGACATTGTTAGGATATCTGCATTGACGATGCTGCATTGGGGGCGCGCATGTGCGTGAGACAAACATCGCCGGTTGTCACTTTATCGGATAGTTAATCTGGTTAATGTAGAATACTTGGCACTTTGCGTCGTGAACAGCCCTTCGGCACCAAACCTTTTACCATGGTTCATTCATGCTCGTGGTCCAACGCGTATCTCGCAACGCGTCTGTTGCGCTCCGTGTAGTCTAGTCTCCATTTTGTCCTCGTCTTAGGCGCCATCATGACGTCAAATTCCCAGTACCATCTAGCCCAACATTCTGCATTGATTTGTAATATTATCCTTTTTTTTTTTCTTTTTCAAAAACACTGCTAACTAGAAGAAAAAAATCAGTTTCAAAAACGAATTAAAAATAGCTGCTTTGAACCTTTGTCGCTCTTAAAGGGTTAATGAAACGATTTATCAACTTTTTCCTGTTTAGCATTGTACCAAACAGTTCAAGAAGACCGAAAGAAGGGAGTCCCCTCTTACTCGGACCCTCGTCTATGTACCCGGACACCGCCATTCTCCCTCTAGACGATTATCCCGTCGCTCAAAACTCGCACAAACGTTGCTCTCCCCACCCCGTTCACCCCATAAGCTGACAGTGCTGTGGAAGCTACTTGCTCGTTGGGCCAGCCACTCTTTTGCCACGTGATGACGCTCTCTCGCGCATACGCACGTGCAGAGAATGAGTTCAGGTGATGAAAGGGAGGCGGCTGATTGGTCCGGCAAGCGCATAGCTTCCACCGCTCTGTCAGCTTAGGGGTGAAAGGAATAAGTGAGGTCCAGGTGTCGTGTGACGTATGTTTGGGCCGGGTGACGCGCTTTGAGTACCGCGGTCGGATGTATCACAGTGAAAAGGCAGAAGGGCTTTCGAAGGGAAGGATTTACGAAATAGTCCGGTGTGTTTTCAAGTTTTCGTACTGAAAGTCAGGCTTTTGACTTTCTACCTTTTTTATATTGGCCCACTAAACAATACGCTATCAGTAAAATCCCAATCTAAATTCATTTATCACAGCCCAAAATTCGTTTCATGGGCCCTTTAAAGGGGTCACGATACAATTTTCCAACTTTTTCCTGTTTAGCTTTCCTCCCCAACTCGTAAATCGCGCATTGTACCAAACAGTTCAAGAAGACGGAAAGGGGGGAGTCCCCACTTGCTCGGACACTCGTTTGTGTACTCGGACGCCGCCATTCTCCCCTAAAAGATTAGCCCGTTGCTCAAAATTCAGACAAAAGTTATTTTTCCCACCCCGTTCACCCCGAAGCTGACAGGGCTGTGGAAGCTACTTGCTCGTTGGGCCAGCCACTCTTTTGCCACGTGATGACGCTCTCTCGCGCATGCGCACGTGCAGAGAATGAGTTCAGGTGATGAAAGGGAGGCGGCTGATTGGTCCGGCAAGCGCATAGCTTCCACCGCACTGTCAGCTTAGGGGTGAAGGGAATAAGTGTGGTCCGGTGTCGTGTGACGTGCGTTTGGACCCGGTGACGCGCTTTGGGGACCGCGGATGTATCACAGTGAAAAGGCTTACGAAGGGAAGGAGGTACGAAATAGTCCGCTGCGTTTTCAAAATTTGTGCCGAAAGTCAGACCTTTGACTTTCTACCTTTTTTTTCTTTTGGCCCACTGAACGATGTGCTATTAGTAAGATCCCAATATAAATTGATTTATCCCAGCCCAAAATTCGTTTCATGGGCCCTTTACGATCCCTTCCGAAACTGCAACGAAGAGGGATGGTAGAGTGATGAGGGAAAGGGCATCGAAAACGGAGGGCATACTGCAGGAGCTGTGTGTCATCCGTCTACAAGTTTCTTTGTGCGTCTTGTACCCTGTCGCTCTGAAAGCGCTGCAAAAAACGCCTCCTCAGCTTTTTTTTTTTTCCTCCTCTTTTTTCAGCAGCTGCGAGCCAGGTGGTGATCGGGCTGGTCGGCGTGGTCTTCAGCCTGGGGCTGGTTGCCTTCATCGTGAGCTACTACAAGATGGGCGCTCGGTCGTGGAGCGAGCGGCGCAGTCGGCCGGCGCCCCACGACCCCCAGCCCTATCAACACGTGCTCCTCCCGCCTGTGCAGTCGGTGAGTGCTAGCCAGACGTGTGCACAGTACAAAAAGAAAAAAAAAATCTTTTTTTTTTTTTTTTATTATTTAGATATACCGTATTTTCCGGGCTATAGTCCGCACCCGGTGTATAGTCCGCAAGAGCGAATTTGGGCTGAAAAATAAAAGTTTTCGCTTAGATTGTCCGCACCTGACGCTTAGTCGACTCAAAAACCTTCTCATACACGGCACACCTTGACAATGGTCTGCTTTCTTAGCTCGCAAAAGAAGCATGTATTCATAAATCATCATTAACATACTTTTTTATTCACAAAATCCGTCACGGCTCGTCATAATGAACGATCTTGAAAAACAAAATTCCTGTATATTCTGCACAGCCTAAAATTTCCGCGGACTATAGCCCGGGAAATATATTGATTACAATTGCTGTTACTTTTAGTTTAAACGTATTTAAGTAGTTTGCTCCGTCCGAGCAAAACAGAGTTCGAGCGGCACATTCGATTCTTACATCTTTTTGCATGATCATGATCGAAACATCACGTGCACCGTATCTTCAACCATGAGGAATTACTACATTCAATTCTTACGCGCTTATTTAGACTGTTTCTCGCTACTGCTAGAAAGCATATGCCAAGCCCTCTTGCTGCGTCCTAGTGCACGCCCTGGCTCTTCCCGCTCCATCCATTGACCAAACTTTCTCTATATACGGCTCTGCTGTCAGCCATACCCCTCTCCCCCAACACTAACCCTAGCCTGAGTCCACTCCTCCCTCCTTCCCCGCATTCCCTACTCAAAACCCGTGCATGGCTTGCACGTGACGCGACCGCACCGTACCAATGGCCATTCCCACTTGTTCTTGCGGAGAAAAAGGTCCTACACAATGGCCTCTGGTGTGACGTCAGTGCAAGTGCCCAGACATTTGCCCCCCCCCCCCCCCCACACACACACACACGCACACATCAGATTGACAATCCTGGATAAATCCCTGCTGTCAACTTCCTGCGTTCCCTGGAGTCACTGTGCGAAGGGGGGGGGGGGGGGGGGGGGGGAAGGGGGGGGGGTGTACGGACGGAGGGACGGAGGACGGACGGACCCAAAAACGAAACCTTAATTTACTTATTTTTATAAAATACTGTATTTATTTTGTCACGCTCATATTTCAGTCACCTTCAAAGTATACTCTCCGCCTAATGCAATGCGCTTGTCGAGACGTTTCTTCCAATGCTCAAAATAGCCTTTACACTCGTCGATTTTGATGCCTTTCAGTGCTTCTGCCGCTTATTGTGTCACCTCTTCCACATGGGCAAACTGTTTCATTTTGAACATTTTTTTCATCCGAGGAAGCGAAAAAGACACACGGGGCAAAGTCCGGTGAGGAGGTATAGGCTGTGGCACGGGGGGGGCCATGCCGCTTTGGGCCCAAAACTGGTGAACACTCGGCGCCGTGTGGGCAGAATAGCAACCAGAGTTTTTGTGAGACTGGTTCTTCCACCATGACAACGCGTCTACCACACCGCTCGGAGTGTTCAACAGTTTTTGGCTAAAAGCGGCATGATTACCGTGCCCCACGTCCTCCCTATACAGCCGACTTCGCTCCGTGTGACTTTTTGTTTGTTTCCCCGGATGAAAAAAACAAAAAAAATTAAAGTGGCTTAGCTCGGCTATGCCAAGATATGCGTAGCCTGAACGGTCGGGCACGTCGCTCAGCCTCCTGGCGACGCCGCTTTGCTAGACGTTCCTCCCTTTGCTCCGGTGTCTCCGCAGCACGTTTAGCCTTCTGTTCGTTCTGCCTACGCTCAACGGCTAATTGCCAGGCAACTACTTCGGGATCCGATGAGTTAAGCTTCTCCGCTCTTCTGCGCCGCTGAGCAGCAATTTCGCTCTCCTTCTCCGTGGCTATACCACACTGGCAAACGCCCCGCTATATGTATACCCCCACTGATACATCTGCGCATGCGCACAAAATGAGAGGCGCTATCAAGCGGCTCCGGTGCAGCGTCAGACTTGGCTACTGCGCAATGGAGGCGCACAGCTGGGCACGCGCCGGCGCCAGTGCGTTTGCCGCGGCTATGACGTCACTCCTCTGGAATGCGCAGACCGGCGAGGCGCGCGCGGCGGCGGCTCTGGCGCGCCAGCTGTGCGCCGGGTGACGTCACTGCTCCTCGCGCATGAGCAGCACGGCTCTCCAGGAGTAACGCGAAGCTGCTCAACCACGGCCAGTGTAGCTCACGCTACAAAACTTGGAGGAACCCGATAGCGTTATCGGGCCCCGTTCGCATCGCCTTCTCATTCGCTCCTCCTGCTCTTCCTGCCAGTGAACAGGAAGTGCGACAAACATAACCTAATAAAGAAAAAGAAATAAAAAAAAAACGGACATGGCGTAGTCAGTAGCGTGTCCGGTTCGCAACCGAAGGGGCGTGAGTTCGAATCCCGCCTAAAATTCTTGACATTTTTCTTTAAGGCAAGTGAAATACTTTATAAATTGAAATCATTTGAGACATGCGGCGATCTTTAATTCGCATTACATGTCGTGTTTTTTATTACTTTGATTTTACGCGTGACGTCACATTTCACGTGAGCGTTGTAGTTTGTTTGAAATTTCCGCGCGAGGTGTATGGCCGTGACGTCATTACTCTACCGACCACTCAGGATTTTCTCGTCACAACGCCACCGACGCCGGCTTTTCTGCTACACAAACTCCTAGCGCTATCGCGTTAAAAAAAGTTTTCAAAGGGAAACGGTTTGCCGATGTGGACGAGGTAAACAAAAAGCAGCAGTGTGCAAGTACCTGTTCGGTTCGAATAGCGCAGGGTCATCTTTGGTTTTAGCCGGCTGTCGCGACTTTTCCTTCCACTGTGAAGGCTACGAATGATGTACTGCTAAAGGGGTGTCCAAACAGGACACTACAAAACGCACGACTCCGACAAATCGTGAAAATTGAAGCGGACGCTTCTATAGATATTTTCCACAGGAGCGCCGCCATCTTGAATTGTCGTCACTTCCAGTATGGGCGCCGACAAAATAGTAAAACGTTTTAACCTGTAACTATTTAAAAAATAGAGGGGAGCGAAAACGAGAATGTGTGACGGTTAGGCTTATATCCTAAATGTCTGCTGTTGGCGTGGTGACGGCAAAGTAATGTTTTCGCCCATACTGGAAGTGACGACAATTCAAGATGGCGGCGCCCTTGTGGAAAAGGTCTATAGGAGCGTCCGCTTCAATTTTCACGATTTGTCGGAGTCGTGCGTTTTGTAGTGTCCTGTTAGGACACCCCTTAATCGAACCGGTATTCGCACACCCCTAACTGAAAGGCATCTAAATAGACGAGTTTAAAAACTATTTTGAGCATTAAAAGAAACGTTTTGACAAGTGCATTGCATTAGGCGGGGAGTGCTTTGAGGGCGACTGAAATTTGAGCGTGTTAAAATAAACGCATGATTTGGTAAGAATAAATTCCGGTTTGTTTTGGGTACCCCCTCGTATCAGTGTCTCTAGCGTTCCCCTCATGCAGGGAAGAGCCGTCGACGATCAGTGCGATACTCTGGAAAGCAGACGCGGGGAGCAAAGCACACTCTAAGAAAAAATGGAGGAAAAAAGTAGCAACGGCGCGCCTTCCTCCCTTCTACCGACGCGCCCCCAAGCGGACACGAGAAAAGGGGAGGAACGAAACTTTTTTCTCCTTCTCCAGGCAGACGGGTGAAAGCTTTCGCCCTCCCGACTCATCGTCTTTCGGTTTCGTTTTTCGAGCAGGTCGCGCACGTTGTTTAATAAATAGCTGTTGAGTTGATTGAGCTTCAGCAGCAGCGAAGGCCGCCTGTAATTCCGTCTTCTAGTCTAAACGTGCAAAACATTTCGGTTGCATTGACGTTTTTATCACTAATTTTATCAAACGAGCAAACGAAGCCGCTAGAAACAGCGAAGTTCCGGAACAGTGCCAGCAGTGCCACGTACACTGGGGGATGGCCGTCTCCGGATTGTTTGACTCGCGCGGCACGGAACTACAGCCGCTACAGCCACTGCAGCACTACAGACTACAGTAGCGAAAGCACGCGGAACTGTGTCGACGTTTTCGACGTTATGGAAACTGCAGGAACTGTGTCCGCTGTGTCCAAGAAAGGCAGGTTTTGCTGCCGGCTGCCTGGGTGCCTTCCCCCCTGAGTTCGGTTCTGTTTTCCGATGCCGAGTGCAACCGGCGTTCAACGTGGTTCTGTGTTTGTGCGTGTCAGCAACATAGCTGCAACATCGTGATGGCAGTGTTGTGGGTTGTGAACGGAAGACTGGAATTTTCGCCGATGTGACCGTGTGTTCGCGTATCAGTGGTGTAACAACAAGAGGAGATCGTAAACGGTCGGGCATTGATGCCGCTGGTCGGGCCGTGATCGGAGGGGGCGGGTTGTCGCAGTTTGACATTCTGCTTTACATTAAAAAGTTTAATACCGCTTGAGGGATTACGTGCAATCGATCAACGTGCGGATAGTCATGTTGGAACGCTGGTCTGAGCAGTATAAGCTCCTATCGTACAGTGGCCAATGTGACTGTTGGTTGTATTGTCCCCGAGAGCGATTGCGCTCTGGGGCAAGGACAACAGTACGAAATTGTGACGGAAAGTACGTATATTTACAGTGTGGAATTTTAGCATTAAAAAACAATAGTAGGTAAAATCGAAAAAAAAAGCTACCATTTATTTTGCTGTTTAAATATATACTACGGTTCCTGGAGAAACTGCCCTCCAAGTGGCACGCTAGGATGAGCGCTAGAAGTTTTCGGGCTCTCCACGGCGTAGCTCCGTACACTTAACACCTGCCACAAGTCGCGGCTTTGACTGCATTCAAGTTGATCGAAAAGCGATTTCTCAGCCCGTGAAGCATCACTTCCAGCTGAGTGAATATCCGCTCTACAGAGATTAATTCAAGACCGCAATTGCAGCTTTGCGCGAACAGCAGAAATAGAAAAACAAACACTACAATAGAAATACAGGCTACGACGCGCCGTGCGGGGAAACAAACTCATGGCTTCGA